TCATTCTGCTTCTAATTGCCAAGGAAAGTTTGCTTGTTTATCCACATAATAGATTGTAACAAAGGAGATATTTTGGCAGAAGGGTCTTTATTAACTCTGAATATTTTGTAAAGTTTCCCTGGAGCTAAGTAGGATAAATGGAAGAATAATAAGGGAGAAGAGTTGGAGCTTCACATTTTTCTTATCCTGAGGCCTTCACTACTTTTATAAAAATATAGAGATATTCTTTAGCCATTGTGGGTATTACTTATATTATCTTATGTATGTTGAAAATATATTTTTTAATCTGTTTTTTGACTTTTTAGTTTTTAATGAAATCTTGTCATGTAAAAGTATTAATTTTCCTTTTGTCAAATTAATAATTTCTTTTGTGATTTGTATGTGCATATATTGTTAACTAATTTTTTATTCAAAAGATTAAAAAATTGTCTTTTAAAATATCTAGGGCTGAGCGCAGTGGCTCATGCCTGTAATCCCAGCACTTTTGGAGGCTGAAGCAGGCAGATCACTTGAGGTCAGGAGTTTGAGACCAGTGTGGCCAAAATGGTGAAACCCTGTCTCTACTAAAAATTTTTAAAAATTAGCCAGGCGTGCTGGCATGTGCCTGTAATCCCAGCTACTCAGAAGGCCAAGGCATGAGAATCACTTGATCCTGGGAGGCAGAGGTTGCAGTGAGCCAAGATCACGCCACTGCACTCCAGCCTGAGTAACAGAGTTAGACTCCGTCTTAAAAAAAAAAAATCTATATGGTTTGACAATGTAGATGCAGTAGGACAATGTTTTTAAAAAGAGAAGAATGGGGATAGTATATACAAATATATATATTTTATTGTATTTTATATTCTAGGGTACATGTGCACAACGTGCAGGTTTGTTACATATGTATACATGTGTCATGTTGGTGTGCTGCACCCACCAACTCGTCATTTACATTAGGTATATCTCCTAATGCTATCCCTCCCCCCTCCCCTCACCTCACAACAGGCCCCAGTGTGTGATGCTCCCCCTCCTGTGTCCAAGTGATCTCATTGTTCAATTCCCACCTATGAGTGAGAACATGCGGTATTTGGTTTTCTGCTCCTGTGATAGTTTGCTGAGACTGATGGTCTCCAGCTGCATCCATGTCCCGACAAAGGACACAAACTCATCCCTTTTTGTGGTTGCATAGTATTCCGTGGTGTATATATCCCACATTTTCTTAATCCAGTCTGTCACTGATGGACATTTGGGTTGATTCCAAGTACACTGAAAGGAGAGTAGAGGATACAAAAAACCTTCAAAAAAAGTCCAATGAATCCAGGATACTGGTTGTTTTGAAAATATGCCAACCAAAATTAATAGACCGCTGCAAACTATAAAGGGAGAAAGAGAGGAAATCAAAATATGACAATTTAAAAGAAATGATAAAGGGGATATCACCACCACCCCACAGAAATACAAACTACCAATCAAGAGAATACTTAAAACCACCTCTATGCCACAATAAGCTAAAACCTAGAAGAAAATGGAAAATCCTGGACACATACACTCTTTCCCAAGACTAAACCAGTGAAGAAGGTGAATCCCCTCGAATAGACCCAATAACCAGGCCTCTGAATTGAGGCAATAACTAATAGCTGCCGAACCAAAAAAAGTCCAGGACCAGAGGATTCAACGAGCCGAATTCTACACAGGCACAAGGAGGACGCTGCTATACGATTCCTTCTGAAACTATTTCAATAGAAAAGAGGGAACTCCCTAAAATGACCTGATTTGTATGAGCCAACAATCATCGCTGAAAGCCAAATGCCTGGCCAACAGAGAGCACAAGACAAAAAAAGAGAAGTTTAGACCAGAAGCCCCTGGAACGAAACATGGATGCAAAAATCCCCTCAATAAACTGGCAAACCCAAAGCAATCCAGCAGCCACATGCAACAAAGCTTATCCACTATGGATCAAAGTGGGCGTTCATTCCTGGATGTAAAAGGGCTGGTTTCAACCATACACAGAATAATAAAACGAGTAATCTAGCCATATAAACGAATCCAAAGACAAAACCACATGACTTATCTCAATAGAAGCCAGAAAAGGCTCTTGACAAAATTTCAACAGCCCTTCATGCTCAAAACTCTAATAAATTTGGTATGGATGGGACATGTATTCAAAATAATAAGACTATTTAAGATAAACCCACACAAATATCATACCCCTGAAGGGCAAAAAGCTGGAAAGAATGTACCGCCTTAAAAAACCTGGCACAAGACCAGGGATG